CAAGGCCTGGGCTGCCGCTGGATGGGCTCCAGGAGAGCAGCGGGAGGCGCCATGAGGGCCCGGGGCTGCCTAGCAGGTCACCACGCCCGCCTGGGGCATACAGCAACCGGGCTCTCCTCCGGGCTGAGGCCAGCGGTGGGACCAGGTCTCCGTGGCAGCCGGCGCAGAGGATCTTGGGAGGGCCTCCCTCTCTTCTGGCTCCTGGGGCTCCTGGTCCTCGGCTCCTTGGCTTGTATGCACCCTCCTCCCTCAGCCTCCTCGTCACGTGGCTTCTCCCGTGTCTGTCTCCACGGGAGATTCCTGTAAGGACCCAGCCCTCGGGTTAGGGCCTCTCTAGTCCAGTGCAACCTCATCTTCACCGTCCCACCTGCACAGATCCTGTTTCTGAACAAGGTCCATGCTGGCGTTGGGTGGGTGAGAATTTGGGGGACATAACTCAATCCAGCGCAGTTACTGCTGGCAATCAGGCTCATGTGTGACCGGTGGGAACCCCAGAGGGCGCCACCCACCAGCCCAAAGCCCGTCAGCAGAGTCCTGGGCCCCGGGGGCAGGCTGCATGTCTTCTCGCAGCAGAAGGGTGGGCCCAGGTGGCGGCGGGAGGCCTTGGTGGGCGCTTCCATTCATGCCGTCACTAGTCCACGGCTGCGCAGAGCTCACTGCCAGCTGGAGCCACCGTGATCTGGGGGCGCTTTGGCGGCAGCGGCGGAGGCTAGCAGAGGGCACGGGCAGGTCGGGAGGAGGCTGGCAGAGGGGACAGGAGCTGTTCAGGAGGAAGGGCCTGGTGGGGGCTGCAGCAGGGTCCGAGGGCAGGGCCTCAGCCTCCGGCTCTGGCCTCTGGGTGGCCATCTGCACTGTAGGGTGTTGAGTGACATCCCTGGCCCCCACGCGCTAGCTGCCAGGAGCACAGCCCTGCCCGGTGGTGACAGCCAAAAAGTCTCCAGACATGCCCGTGCCCTGGGGGCACACTTGCCCTGTTGAGAGCCACTGGGGGGTTTCCAGGTGGAAGAAGTTGGATATGTAAGTTTGGAGCTTGTGAAGCGATGGAGGGGTTTATCTACATCTGTCTGTCCATCCACCCATCCTTCCTTCCATTCGTCTTCCTGCTCCCTCCCGTCCACCCGCCCCTGGCGCTGCCTGGCCCTGCTGTGCCCCGCCCCCGGGTTAGGGTGCCCTGCAGGGTTAGCCTCTGAGTGGGAAGCGCAGGGTCAGGCTCACTGAGAGGACACCTAGGGAGGGCTCCCCCAGCGCTGGCGGGGCCCCCGGGGTACAGCGCGGGGCTCCCTCAGGACCCCAGTGGTTGGGTGTGTGACCTCCCGTCCACTGTGCCCCGCAGAGTACTTGAGCCCGGAGGAGTACGAGGCCGCCAGCCGGAGCGGGGACATTGTGCAGGAGAGGGAGGCCACCGGCAGCCACTGCTGGGTGACCCGCGCAGCCCTGGAGCGCCTCATGGAGAAGG